TTTCCAGGGTCTTGCTCTGTCACCCACGCTGGAGTGCAATGTAATGGTGGGATCACAGCTCACTGCAGCCTCAACCTTCCAGGCTCAAGTGCTTCACCTCAGCCTTCCACGTAGCTGGGTCTACAGGATGTGTCACCACACTCGGCTAATTTTTATATTTTTAGTAGAGACGGGATTTCACCATGTTGCCCAGGCTGATCTTAAACCTGGGCTCAAGAAATCCTCCTGCCTCGGCCTCCCAAAGTGCTGGGATTACAGGTGTGAGCCACCATGCCTGGCCTCTATATTTGATAATGTAGATTTCAGGATAGAGCTGGGAGCCCTGATGACCAGTGTGTGGAGAGGTCAGGGTCTGTCCGCAGGTGGATCTCCTCCACACTCTGTGGAGCTATGAGGCGCATCAGGCCTGGAACCCCGTGAGGGGCCCTCTCCCGGGCTGGCAACTGACAACATAGACCGTCACCACAGCCAAACCTGCCCTTTGAGGAACAGGGGAGAAATATGCAGGTTGACAGGTCGGAGCCTGCATTTTCTGGGCTGGGACCCAGTTTGGCCAGCCCAGGCCAGCTTGAGATCCGCTTGGCCACTCAGGGCTTCTGGAGGGGAGGGCAGGAGCTGGCAGCAGACAGCTATCTTGATCGGCTGATCAAGGGCAGCCCTTGGGGGATTGCTTTTGCCTCACTCCCCAGGACATAGCTGTGAGGGAAGTCTAGGCTGCATCCTCTTTCTGACTTGGGTACAGGGGCTCCTGTGGTGGCCTGGAGTTCCCTGATACCTGCTCATCTTGAAGAAGGAGGGTCTCTGACCTACCAATTGGAAGCCCTGTGCCCCATGTGTGCTCGGACCCAACCTGTTCTTTCTTGGCTACCTGCAGAGAAAAGAACATAATAGTCCTTTCCACAAGGCTGGAGTCTAGGGGAGTCCCCTTCTGAGTGGCTCTGAGACTATTCTGGCCGCAATCAGGGGCAGGAACAGGAAGCTGGAAACTGAGTCCTGTTCAGGGAACCATATTTTGCTTGTGGGAGGTAAACCTGCCTCTCTTGGGATTTCCAGGCCTGCCCCCTGGCAGTTCCCAGTGGACCTTCCATCTCCCCACCCCCCACCCATGCTCACGGTCCTGATGCTTTTGGGGCTGGAGAAGCAGGAGAGTATTTGGAGAGGAAGCACAGGGGCCGTGGTGGAGGGCTGTTGGGTACGGCTCGAGTGCGTCTGGGGGTCTGTGGCACTTGGCTCTGTGCGGTCTATGGGATCAGAGAGGCTGAGCGCCACTATCTCATGTCTTGCAGGAAGTGGTTGGAGCGGTGCCAGGGTGGGGCTGGGTGGGAGGCAGCTCCCACTGCACTGTAGTCAGGAAGGATGCTAGGGGTGGCTCCAGGCCCTCTCCTCCACACAGCGGCCATCCTCGCCCATCAATAGGCCAGGAAAGAGACAGGACTCAGACCAGATTGCTTGGGCCTGCCTGCCAGTTCTGCTATTTGGGTTGTCTCGGGCAGGTGACCTCCCCTTCCGGAACTTCAGCTTGCTCGTTCTATAAATGGGAATGAGCCATGCTACTCTGCAGAATGTTGGAGGATTCATATAATATGGGTAGAGGTCTGAAACACTGAGCCGGACCTCAGTTATTATGTGATGGGATTTACGTGTAGGATCTTTAACTGATGTGGCTTCCGTGTTTCTCTCTCCACCCAGAATATGATCCTCCTGGGCCAGGAACCCCTCCCAGGGCACTGACAGGGTTTAGATGCGGTTGCATCAGAGGCACATGAAGCTGGGGCAGCACCTCTCTCTGGGAGCAAGTCCATTGACCTGGTGTCGCCCCCTCGTGTTTGGGAGCAGAAAGTGCTCGTGGTGGTGCACACTTGTAATCCCAGCTACTTGGGAGGCTGAGGCAGGAGAATAGCTTGAACCTGGGAAGCAAGAGGTTTTGGTGAGCCAAGATCGCACCACTGCAGTGAGTGCTCCCCAACACAAGGAAGTAGAGGAGTGGGCCAAAGACTCAGGCAACCTGATAGGAGGAAAACTTCAAGGAGAAGAATATCTGTTCACTAAGATTTCAAATACAGTTTGCCCTTTTCCCTCTAGGACAACTTATTTAATGCCCTTGGCTTCTAAATACCCTTAGAGAACTTTCATTTCACACTAGAGTTGCTTATAAAAGCCAAACTTTCTTTTCTTTTTTTTTTTTTAGACAGAGTCTTGCTCTGTTGCCCAGGCTGGAGTGCAGAAGTGCAATCTTGGCTCACTGCAACCTCCGCCTCCTGGGTTCAAGCGATTCTCCTGCCTCGGCCTCCCAAGTAGCTGGGATTACAAGTGTGCACCACCATGCCTGGCTAATTTATTGTATTTTTAGTAGACAGGGGTTTCATCATATTGGCCAGGCTGGTCTCGATCTCCTGACCTCAAGTGATCCACCTACCTCGACCTCCCAAAGTGCTGGGATTACAGGCGTGAGCCAGGGCGCCCAGCCCAAACTTCCATTTTTAAGCAGTTCACGAATCCCACCTACTTCCCACAGATCACCCAGTCGTTTGTTCTCACAACCCCAAGAAGCAGGGAGGGGCACATGCGCCTGAGGACCTTGCTTCCGCTGGTTATGGGTTTTATGAAGGAAGAGTGGGTCTTCCTAAGCATTTGGGCAGCAACATTACCACAGCTGGAGGAAAACAATCCCATTTGAAGGAGGTGAAGGGGGTCCTGGGCGTGGGAATGTGAGGGACAGTGGAAAGCCCTGAGAGCTCCTGTGAGGCAGCAGAGCTGGGAACGCTGAGTGAGGCTCGTTTCCTGAGCAGGGAGGAACCGAATCATGGTTCTGAGGTGATGTGGTTTCCATCAAGCCCTGTAGCCTGCCTAGATGTATGGTTTTATCTGATGGGACTGTGACTCAGCTGAGCTCTGAGGGTGTGTGCCCAGGCCCACTGCCAGCTTCCTGGGAAGGGATGCCAGCCCAACTCTGTCCAGAGAGGAGAAAACACAGCTGCTGTTTCTAGAGCTACGAGAAGGGAGCAAGGTTAAAGGACTCTGCTCACCTCCAGCTGCTTGGTTTTGCTTCAGCTCTCTCAGTCTTTCTAGTGAACTTGACCTGTTGCCACTGGGTTTCTTTTTCATTCATCCAGTACACATTTGTTTAGCACCCACTATGTATCAGGTACTGTGTTGGACTTTGAAGATACGGAAGTAAGAAGACAGGGCACCTGTCCTCAGGGAGATGACATTACAACAGGGCAAATGGTCAGCAGGGGAAAAGTCATTGTGGGTGGTGACCAGTGCTCTGAAGGGCATCATGGCAGAGGCCAAGCAATAGTGAGACTGCAAGACTGTCTGCTTAGCTGGCGTGCTCAGCGACAGTCTCCCTGGGGACCCTTGTCCTGAGTGAAGAGAGGCAGCCACACCATGATCCAGGGGAGAAGCATTCTGGCAGAGAAAGAATGGCTCACACCAGGGCCTGGAATTTGCAGAGAACATGGGTATTTGAGGCCCACAGTGAACAAAGGAGGAAGATGGGGCTGGAGAACTGGATAGGACCTCGATCCTAACTTTGTCAGCCTGTGTGAGGAATTTAGGGTTTTTTGTTTTGTTTTGAGAGGGTCTCACTCTGTCACCCAGGCTGGAGTGCAGTGGTGTGATCTCGGCTCACTACAGCCTCCACCTCCCAGGTTCAAGCGATTCTCCTGCCTCAGCATCCCAAGTAGCTGGGATTACAGGTGCACGCCACCACGCCTGGCTACTTTTTTATATTTTTGGTAGAGACAGGGTTTCACCATGTTGGCCAGGCTGTTCTCGAACTCCTGACCTCAAGTGATCCACCTGCTTTGCCCTCCCAAAAGTGTTGGGATTATAGGCATGAGCCACCTTGCCTGGCCTACAGTTTTTGAGTCAGGGTCTCACTCTGTCACCCAGGCTGGAGTGCAGAGGTGCAGTCTCAGCTCACTGCAGCCTCAACTGCCTGGGCTCAAGCGATCCCCCGCCTCAGCCTCCTGAGCAGCTGGGACTACAGCAGGTGCACGCCACCATGCCTGGCTAATTTTTAAATTGTTTGTGGAGACGGGATTTCCCACTGTTGCCCAGGCTGCTCTCACAGACTCCTGGGCTCAAACAATTCTCCTGTCTCAGCCTTCCAAAGTGCTAGGACTACAGGAATCAGCCACCGTGCCCAGCCTGAATTTAGAATTTAATCTGAGTGTGACTGGAAGACCCAGGAATGTTTTCTTCAGGGTAGGTACATAATCTGGTTTCATTTTATTTATTCATTTTTGACACAGAGTCTCGCTGTTGCCCAGGCTGGAGGGTAGTGGCACGATCTCAGCTCACTGCAACCTCTGCCTCCCGGGTTCAAACAATTCTCACCTCAGCCTGCTGAGTAGCTGGGATTACAGGTGTGTGACACCATGCCTGGCTAATTTTCATATTTTTAATAGAGACAGGGTTTCACCATATTGGCCAGACTGGTCTTGCACTCCTGACCTTGTGATCTGCCTGCGTTGGCCCCCACAGTGCTGGGATTACAGGCATGAGCCACCATGCCTGGCCATCTGATTTTATTTTGAAAAGATCTCTCAGGCTGCTGTTGGGGTGAGTTGGGCAGATGCCATACGGTGGCATGACAAGGGTGGTGGCAGTGGACGGGATGAGACATGACTGGCCTGACATGCACTTCAGAGGTGGAATTTACAGGATTTGCTAGTAGTGTGCATGTGAGGGAAAGGGCTGATTTCCACTTGAGAGGTCTGGGTGCCTGGCCAGATATGATAAGGCAAGAAGAGCAGGCAGGGAGGGGTGGCAGGCCTGGGGTGCCCTCCGTGCTTGGGTGGTTGGAGGTACCTGTTTGACACCCAGGCAGAGATGGCAGTGCACAGATGCACCTAAAGCCCAGGGCTGGAAGAGATTCTGTGGGGTGGGGGAGTTGAGTAGTTAAGAGACGAGCCTGGTGAGGCCATCAACATTCACAGGAAGACCCAAATGGACCAAGGACCAGCTCATGAGGTGGGGGGAAAAATCAGCAGAGGTTAGTGGCACAGTAGCTTTGAAGAGAAGCTTCAAAAAGGCCAAGGAGCCTGGCGCGGTGGCTCACGCCTGTAATCCCAGCACTTTGGGAGGCTGAGGTGGGCAGATCACCTGAGGTCAGGAGTTCGAGATCAGACTTTATAAAACCCTGTTTTTATAATTAAAAAAAAAAAAAAAAAAGGCCAAGGACAACCACTTCAAATGGCACTGAGATCTGATAAAGACAGAACTGGTCACTGGACTTGGCAAGATAGAGGCAGATACAAGAGATGAACAGCCTTCCTAGAGAACAGGGATGCAAGGATGAGTGGGGAGACTGCTCAGAACAGGGGCTGCACGAGTGGCAGGGGCAGCAAGAAGCGGGTCTAGACAGAGAGAGCTTTTTCTTTTTTTTTTTTTTTTTTTTTTTTTTGAGGGGGTTTTTTTTTTTTTTTTTTTTTTTTTGAGACGGAGTTTCACTCATGTTACCCAGGCTGGAGTGCAATGGCATGATCTCGGCTCACTGCAACCTCCGCCTCCCGGGTTCAGGCAATTCTCCTGCCTCAGCCTCCTGAGTAACTGGGATTACAGGCACGTGCCACCATGCCCAGCTAATTTTTTCTATTTTTTTAGTAGAGACGGGGTTTCACCGTGTTGACCAGGATGGTCTCGATCTCTTGACCTCGTGATCCACCCGCCTCGGCCTCCCAAAGTGCTGGGATTACAGGCTTGAGCCACCGCGCCCGGCAAGAGAGCTTGTTTTTCAGAAGGAGGACAAAGTCTCTGCAGGCCAAGGAGAATGAACCAGCAGAGGGGGAGAAATTCTGCAGTGAAGAGATGGCTGCAGGACTGTGCAAGGAGCAACAGGACCTGAAATCCAAATGGAGAGAGGCAGGGTGAGGAGCACAAACCCCTCCGCTTTTGCTGGATGGGACACAACTACAGGTGCAGGAAGCCAACAGGCTGGAGGACAGGGTGGTGACAGACAAGCCAGCCTTCTCCTGATGCCCAGACTTTCACATGGAAGAACGGGGTCAAGGCAGTAGCTGAAAGGGAAAGTCGGGAGTAGGCAGCTGCTGCAGAACTGCTGGGCAGCACCGACTACCCACTGAATATTTGAAGTGAGAAGTTTAAAGTGAAACCGGCCGCCAAGGTGGTATCACTCTTTGAAAACTGTTCAGTTGCTGGGTGCAGCTGGGTCAGCCACTGGATACTGTAGGCACTAGGAGGTAGTAGGGCTTAAGAAGTGGGAGGTTCTGCCACTCCTGCTCTGAAGCCATTACCAGAGCTCCAGTACTTTATTCAGTTTATTCACTCCTAGAATACAGACAGAACTCAAAGCGATGATGAAAATTATTTTTATTTTATTTTAGAGGCGGTCTTACTCTGGCACCCAGGCTGAAGTGCAGTGGAGCAATCAGGGCTCACTGCAACCTCAAACTCCTGAACTCAAGTGATCCTCTTGCTTTGGCCTCCCAAAGTGTGATTATAGGTGTGAGCCACTGTGTCCAGCCAATGAAAAATTTTATTCAGTAGCCAACAGCAGAAAGAGCCACCACTAATTTATTTTCAGGACTATGTTTTTACTATAGATTAAAATTTAATATAATTTAATTCACATATAAAGACAACTCTGAAGACTATCTGGATATGATAATGGGGCCTAAGTGGAATAACTGAGGTCACGCTCAGGCCTGAGCAGATACCAACTTGCTCAAGCCTGAGAAATAGGACTTCTCTCTTTCACTCATCACTTCAAAATGCAGTGGCCTCCTACAGAAGTTGCACTCAGCTGAGGAATGTGGCTTCAGTTCCAGCCCCACCTGCTTCCACGTGACCAGCAGATTCTCTGAGGAGAAACAGTTAAATATTAAAGGGAGTATATACACAAGAGAAATGAAAACATATGTCCACATAAGAACCTGTACACAAATGTTCACAGCAGCATTATTCATCATCGTTAACAAGAGAAACAACCAAATGCCTATCAATAGGTGGATAAACAAAATGTGGTAAATCTGTACAATGGAAGGTTATTTAAGTGCTAATGAACGCTACAGCATGGATGAGCTTTGCAGACATGATGCTGTGAAGGCGGCAGACACAAAGGAGCACACACGGTATGATTCCACTTAGACACAGGTCCAGAAAAGGCAAATCCACAGAGACAGAAAGACCCATGGTTGACAGGGGCTAGGGATGGGGAAAAGGGGAGTGACTCCTAATGGGGAGGGGCTTCTCTCTGAGGTGATAGAAATGTTCTAGAGTCAGATAGAAATGATGGTTGCACAACTCTGGGAATGCACTTAAAAATCATGCCCTAGGCCGGGCACGGTGGCTCAAGCCTGTAATCCCAGCACTGTGGGAGGCCGAGGCGGGTGGATCACGAGGTCAAGAGATTGAGACCATCCTGGTCAACACGGTGAAACCCTGTCTCTACTAAAAATACAAAAAGTTAGCTGGGCATGGTGGCATGTGCCTGTAATCCCAGCGACTCAGGAGGCTGAGGCAGAATTGCCTGAACCCAGGAGGCGGAGGTTGCGGTCAGCCGAGATCGCGCCATTGCACTCCAGCCTGGGTTAACAAGAGCGAGACTCCATCTCAAAAAAAAAAAAAATCATGCCCTTAGGTACTTTAAACAGGTGAATTTTATGGTATGTGAGTTATATCTCAATAGGCTTTTTTTTTTTTAAGACAGGGTTTCACCATGTTGGTCAAGCTGGCCTTGAAGTCCAGACCTCAGATGAGCCGCCTGCCTTGGCCTCCAAAGTGCTTGGATTACAGGCGCGCGCCACCACGCCTGGCCTCAATAAGGCTTTTATAAAAATAAATAAAGAGAAAAATAAAACCCAGAGTTAGGCTTGATTTCACAGGCCTGTAGGGAAGAAGCTGCTCCAACATCGCCATGGGATTAAAGCCAGCATTTCCAACAGAACAGATAGCCCATAAGGAAGCTGAGCCATGCTGGGCGGGCTCGGGAGGGCAATGTACCTTAGAGGCAGAGGTGACCTGTGACTAACAGCCCCCTTCGGTCTCTGCCTTTAGGTTCGACATGGGTCAGGCAGTACAGAACCACAGGACAGTTGAAAATGTTGAGCAATTCCTCTTATCAGAGGGGATTAGGTGTGCGGTTATTTAAGGATTATACAACGTCATGGAGTAGAGGGCAGTGCCAAAGACAAATATGAGCTGGACTCTGGAGGGCCAGCGGGCACTCAAGCCTTCAGAGGCTCTTCTCCCTGCAAGTCACTACCATGCATCCTTCAGCCACAGACAAGGGGGCACTGGGAACACTGAGCAGGTTCCCAGGCTCCCTCAGAGCTCCCAAAACGACTCTGCACCCTCTTGATGTGAACCAGACAATAAATATCTTTTAGGGTTTTGAACCATTTAATGGCATTTTTAATTACATGGAAAAAGAAGAAACAGGCCAGCCGAGGTGGCTCATGCCTGTAATCCCAGCACTTTGGAAGGCTGAGGCAGGCGGATCATCTGAAGTCAGGAGTTCGAGACCAGCCTGACCAACAGGGAGAAACCCCATCTCTACTAAAAATACAAAATTAGCTGGGTATTGTGGCACATGCCTGTATCCCAGCTACTTGGGAGGCTGAGGCAGGAGAATTGCTTGAACCTAGGAGGTGGAAGTTGAGGTAAGCCAAGATTGAGCCATTGCACTCCAGCCTGGGCAACAAAAACGACACTTTGTCTTAAAAAAGAAAGAAAGAAAGAAACAAATCTGAATGCCTCTGAAGGGCTACAGTTACAAACGCTGCAAAGACAGCTTTCTGTAAGTCTCCAAAGAGGCACCAGCAGCTCCCCAGGTACTCACCAAGGAAGTAGTTCATCATCTGGGGTGTGTGGTGAGGGGTGGGGGCGATCCGTAGGAGCTCTTCCCCTCGGGGCACTGTAGGGTAATTGATTGCTTGCACATAGATGTTATGTCTGCTCATTAGTTCATCACAGACTTCTGTGTTTTTAGCAGCATCTGCAACCTAAGTTCAATGAGAGCAGAAGGGAAGGTCACAACAGGAAGGACTACCTCTTAGAGATTCTAACAAACATAGTCTCTGCAACGCTCAGGCTCAAGACCAGACTGCAGCAACATGTGCAAGCTTGGGGGAGAGGGAAGGTGCTGCCCAAACATCTGTCATTTAAAAGGAGCCAGTGTTGTTTAGTGAAGACCAGAGAGCCAAAACCTCATGAAAAAGAAATACATTTTTAATGGGAAAACACTGGTTCTGTTCATACCCAGTATGTATAGCACAGATTCCATTATACTAGCTGTATTCATTACACTTATTCAGCTGTGACACCAACAGTGCTACCATTTGTAGTGGAAAGGGCAAAACCTATTTTGAAATTTACTAAGTAGAAAGCCATACTTCAAAGTTGGCCAAGCTCAAGCTTCTGGAGTTTACCCTGTAAGGTCAGTGATCTGGAGATGGAATTTCTGTCCCAGCCTGCTGGGTTCAAAGGCTTTCTTCTCATCGTGAAGTTAGGCAACGGCGGAAACATGACAGAGGGTGGCTGGCTACAACCCTGCTCTGGCAGTCACCCCACTCAAGCCCAACTTCAGGAAGGTGTGAAGCAGAACAACTGCACACCATTTGTCTGGCAGTCACCCCACTCAAGCCCAACTTCAGGAAGGTGTGAAGCAGAACAACTGCACACCAT